ATAAAAGTATGAATTTCAGCAGAATAGTAATATCAAAGCAAATCAAAAAACTGCGATCACACATGAGCAGTTAACAGCTGCTATTGTACAAGGACTGACTACAATGATGGCTTCTATGAGCGCTGCTGAAAAAGAAAAGGAAAAAAAGAAAAGAAAAATTGCTGAGGTCAAAGTAACACCACACAAACAAACAGTTCTGGTGGAGCTCTGTGTTGTTTGGAGACATTTCATTGACTTATTATATTCATTTCCTGGTACCAATCCTGACAATAAACAAAGTCACTACTTACCTAACCTTAACCTGAACCCTAACCTTGACTCAATTTACCCCATATCTGAACTTTAAATCATGTAGTTAATCTAATGATAACAAATGTACATGATGAGGACCTGATTTTTGTGATTACAGAGGCAGGTTCCCATGAAAATTTGAATGAATGGCAAAAAATGAATGAATAGATTTAGTATGTTTATGTAAAGTAATTCAAAAACATATAAATCCATCCGTACAGTTCAACATATCTCAGAAAGATATTATATATATAAAGATCTTGATGTTCCAAGATGAAAATGTGAGGAAAAACTAAGGTTTTAACTATAACAAACTTGCAATATTGTGGATAAAATGATACTATTGAAACTACTTTATGACACTGACGCAAAAACAATAAAACGAGTTAATCTTGGTTAACCTTTTTTTTAATATACAGTATCATTAAAATGCATGAGCTGTAAAAAATAAATAGAATTAACTAGTATTTTGCAATGGAAGTTTTTTTATTCCACCATCTACAGCTCAAATCACACATAACTGCATAAAAATGGCAACAATCTACCTACTACTCATTAGGGATGGGCATGATTAATTGATTAATCAATAATTGATCATTAAGAATTTCATCGATTACGTTCATTTTAATCGACAAACAGAATGTAGGTTGCTGTGCATAGCGTGACCAAACAGGGTCTGTACATGTGTCTCTCTGCACTCAGAAGGAGCGAGCAGACACAGACAGACAGTCAGTCTGCAGCGTGCCGAAGCGCAAATGCGTATTTAACAATGACTTGTACAAGAAATTCCACGCTTTCCGTTGTGTTCGGGACAAGTGTGAGGCCATGTGCACAAAGCAGCACATATGTTTTCAGTGTCCAGTGGGAAAACGTTTTGCCAAGTGAGAGTCGCTCAATGTCAATGACGAGTCCCCACCTCTCACCCCCCGTACGGTGTCCTGGTTTTGACAAACGCAAATATGGTCACACTAACCTGTATTCCACTGAGTCATGTCGCATCAGCGAAAAAGAGCAGGTTTTTTTTCGCATAATTTATGCAAATTAGCCATGCAGTTTTAAGTTTCATTTCTGTGAGACATTACACACATTACAACACATTATAATGTCAAACAGGCTGATGTGGCTCTAGAGTCGTTACGGTTTATATGTCATAAAGTTAAATTTATTTATGCAGATTAGTAGCGCAGATAGTAATAATAATGATGATAAATTTGAATATAAAAAACATTAATGATTAATCAATAATCGATCGTTAATTCTCCCGACAATCGATTAAGAAAATTTAATCGAATGCCCATCCCTACTATTATAAATATTGACCCCCAAAATATACAGTTCCAGCTTTCATGTACTGAACAATCAGTTGATATAGTAACTATCATGACAGGTTTAGGAAAAAATGCAGATAAATGCTATTTCTTTCCATTTCTGTGTATTTTGCGTGAGTCTAACCTGTTCTAAATGTGTCCTCCTCTTGAATAAAGATGGCTGGCTCTCCGTGTCAGAGCTCTGTTTAAACAATTATCTTATGCAAACTGCAGCTTTAAGTCCTCAGCCCCTCAGCTCCAGCTCTAACCTGCAGCTGCTGCCATGACCACGCACACGGACACGGGATGAGATCTTCCACATGTTTACATTTGCATTCACAATAAGAGGCTTCAAATATCTCATCTCCACAGCAGCCTGTCACCTCTGCTATTGTTCAAAAGGTTATTGAGAGAAAACAAGAACAAAACAATGTGTGAACTGTCTGGCACTATAGGTGATTCAGCCGAGGTGTGGAGAGACAAAAATAGTGCAACATTATTCTTTGACTATAAAGCTCCTTCTGAATATTAGTCTATTACTCAAGTCAAAAGAATTCCAAAACAAACAAACAAACAAAAAAAAAAAGTATTTGGGAGTATAGTAATTACAAAGAAACTAATGTATTAACTGCTTGAAAAATGAGACTTTAAACCCAATAGACTTTGTAAGCCAGAAGGACATGAAAAAAGTATAATCAAGTATTGCAACTTCAAAATTTCTAAAAATGTTAAGTTGCAATATTACAGTACAAAAAAGTATAAGCAAAAATGTATAAGCAAAAACTATAACGCCTGTCTTGGTACTTACTGTATAGACTTACTTCAATATATGAAATCTGGAAGAATTTATTTTGGGGCTGAATATTTATCGCAGGTCTTTATTTTTTGCTGTATTAAAGAAATGTTATTTTAGTTGTTATACAATAAGATTTGAGTTGCAGAGGGTTAAAAAAAGTAAATTCTCTGGGTAATTATGCTACTTAATTGTCGCAGCACGAGTCTTTTAATGATATTGTCTACTGAAAAATGGTTAATTAGGATTGTATTACTTTATTTTTATTGTGTCAGTGGCTTAAAATTAATTATTATCATTGATCATTTATCACAGTATTTATTTCTAGATATATATTGTGCTTCCAAATTTGTTATCGTGACAGGCCAATAAGTAAAAGTAAAAAGTACAAAAATACAAATATGTAGATGTGTAATTCACCCCACTCCACTCCTTGGTCTGTTGTGTGTGTATGTGTAAAGCAGTTGGCTCTGCTTAAGGCTGTGCATGTTAGAGGCCAAATCAAATTCAGCTTGTTTTTTCTCATGAGAAAAATGAATCAAAGATCTATGAAACTTTATACAATTACACAAATATGCTTTCAACTAAACCCACACACAGACTTGTTTAAACAGAACAAGACTCTGGCCATTTGAGTGTCATTAATCTTGGAGAATAAAGACATGACTGTGGTCCAATACCAGAAACATTTATAGAGGGACAAACAAATGTGCATCAGTTGCCGCTGACGACCGCTGCCTCTGAAGGAGAGTTGCAACATTTCATGAAGAACAATGTTTTGGTAAATTGTGAAATGAGCCGCGTCGGTGATGAATTACAGAAATATGGTGCAAGACTAAAGCCTCATGAGAAAACTGTAAAATACAAGTATGAAGCATTGCTCAATATGACACTGTTCCCTTCAGGAAAAAATGATCTGCTCTCCCTATCTCTCTTGGCTCTTCAAAATAACATTACTCAAGTAAAGGCACTCAGCTGTCGTATAAACCATAGGCCTATTACTTTTTTTGTTACTTCTACTTTTCATACTATTACTACAATATATATATTACGGCAGCTATACCAATATTAAACAAAGGTTTTCCTAACTACAGCCCAAGTAAAGTAGATAGATAGGTAGATATAGACAATTTATTCATTAAAAACTGATTTAATTAAAACCCAAATTCAAAAGTAATTCAAATTTACTGCAATAACAGTAGACTAAAAGTAGTGTTCCACACATACTGACGTGTTAAACAATAAAAATAAATATTCCAAATTGTTATTACAAGCTGATTTTACACATGGCAAACACTGCCGTCATGGTTACTGAACGCTATTTTACTTTCAAAAATTCACACTACACTGTCAGCATTGATATTCAGATGGAGCGCTGAACCATAAGCAAAGAGACATATTCAAATTACAAATTGTTTCTCATTGAATTTACAAACCTTGTTATCCCTGAATGGAAAATTACATTACATCTCACCTTTATTGCAAAAATCCAACAATATCTGGTATCTCATGCATTATGCCACTTTATGCTAACTCTAGGTTTTCCAATACCGTGCTATTTCCTAACACAGATTTGATTTATCTGGCAACATATACAGAAAGACTATAGGTACCACTATATATTACAATTGCAGTCTAACATTATTATTAGAAATACAGTCTTAATATTCTTTAAAGCAGTGCTCAGGATTAACTTAATTCTCCCTCTTTCCTCTGCAATATGTTTACAGACTGAAGCGCCTTTACGACAAATATGATTACCACTACATGAGAGATAATATAAGCCTGCATCAGTGCTTCACCATAGCATGACTTAACCACAGCAGCCTCCAGGAATGAGGAGAGGGAAATACACACGAGTATACACTTGAGTTTACAGGGCCCCCTGCTGGTGCACATTGGTCGACCACCATTCAGACCAAACTACAAACTCCAGAATGGTCTTGTTGAATATAAGCAACAGGTAACACGTAGGATTTTAAGTTTTATTTTAGACATTGAGACATATAGTTTTACTATATTGTAATGTATCCGCGTAGTCACGTGGGGTCAACTGATTTAATAGAAAGATTTTCAATAAAGTTCAGGCAGGAGTCAATTTAAGATATTAGGTTTGGAGACCTGGGGTTAAATGGGGGTAATTAATGGCAACGGCACGAGTGAAACTGCAAAACTGCTTAAGATAATCATTACATATGAGAAGAAGTTGTCTAGTAAAACGTAGGAACAAGCTGTCAAAAAGTGGCAGTAACTTATTTACATTCTCATTTGTATAAATTTGTTTGTTTAAAATTGATTTGTAAAAGAGATTATATTTATATTTATACTTCTGTTAGTCTCTCTGGTCATTAGTAGGCTAATTTATGTAAAACAATAAATTAATACGTACTTTATACTAACGTGCAAAACTGACCTGCCACTCCCCTTTACTGTAAGACTACAAGTTAAACTAAGGTGTGGGATTATCATGTCTCTAAACGTGCACCTCTAAACGTGCACCATTTCTTGGTTAAACGCAGTGACTTTTTGAAGTATGACACGTGCATGCTTGGTGGAGAGGTGCTTTGGTCGTGGTTTGGCGCGCACTGCTTGGATGCGTGTCTCCTCACCTGATATTTCCTGATGAGGTACATTGGTGAGGCTGAATCCTTTCGCGCTGTAAGCTTGTCTAACCTCGCTACAGCTCCGCGCTTGCCTTCACCAGCAGCGTATGACAGGGACACAACCGACAGAGTGCAGAAGGCGAGCTGCAGTCTCCACATCGCATACATCAGTCAAAACCTTGGCAAGCTCTCGCCACGGGGAAAATGAGCTCCGTTAAATGTTGAAAATCAAAATAAAAAACAAATCCAAGATGTTAATAATGACTGAAGATGTTTTCCAGTGTCGGGAAATCACTCCTCACTTTGGATAACGATACGTCCTCATTGCTAAAACCGGCGCGTAGGTTCCCAATGAAAAGAGATGGAGAGTCCCAGTTATTCCCGTGATGTCTGAGCGCAGATAACTTCTCATGAGACAGCCCTGCGTTGTGGCGAGAGGAAGCAGGATGCAACGAGCAGAGCGCACCAGCAGCAGCGGCACAAGGGCAGGGCAAAACATGGACTGGAGTGAGCGGAGTCAGACTTGCAGCGGGAGGAGCGCGCGCACACCGGAGGTCCTCTGCCTGGTGCATCCCTGCTACATGCGCACGCGAGCACGAGAGAGGAAGAGGAGGAGGAGGAGACACATGTTGAGGACCGGGAGAGGATGGTGAAAACATGGGGATTATTTGTATGTATGAATGTGTGGTGGAAAGAGCAGAATTAAAGCTGACCCGTGCACTGAGGTGGCCCAAGGTTGTAATAAGATGAAGCGTATCAGATACACGCACTACCGGATATTCAATAACCTGTATCATCTGGTTTATGTTTTAATGTAATCAAAGTGCAATCTGGGTACAAATCAGTCAAACACATGCAATGTAGACTTTTGAGTTTTTAAGATGCCATTTTCAAAAAGAAGTTGGAAATTTGTATTGTTTATGTGTGTAAGTGTTTGTGTTTTTCTGAATTTGTGCAGAAAGAGACCGGAATATCACCATAAAAAAGTGACAAAAAAGTGCAAAACATCAAAATATTCCATCGCTGTAATACTCATGGTACATCTTTTCATTTAAGGCTGACAAACACGTAAGCTTCAGCTACAATTGGCTTGAAACTAAATGCAAGTTATTCTAGTTCAGTGGGTAGGCTAACATAGTTCATTGAGGTCTAAGGGACTGGAACAAACTGTGCACAGATTCTCCTATTTACCAGCATTTTGTATTTTGAGGCAACAAATCATGTCACTAAAATATTCATGAATAATTTATGAAATAATTCAGGTGCTTCTTTTCCCCTTTTAACTCTCAAAAGTTCAACCTTGAAGTGTCAATCTTGTGAAATGTTTCATTAAGTTAAATATGCACTATGTAACTTTTTGGTTGGGAGTCCATCACCAGCTTGTTTCTATGGGTATGTCATTGATTGATCTGCTTGGAAAGTTTCACAATATGACATTAAACAGCTCTACATCTACATTCATTCCATTATAGGTGGTTTTTTAGCTCAAAAACATCTTAAAAAAAAAACAAAATACAAAACAGGCATTCTCACTGTGAGCGGTGTTGCCTTTCCACATAACTTGGTCTGGCTTGGTCTCCATGAATGTTGAAAGGTTTGATGCCATACAGTAAAACAGTCCAGACCAAGCAATAACATCTCCATGGAGAAAAGTATTTGACAGACCCTCCACTAGAAAAGTTACACAGTGTACTTTTAGAACTGTTCCACTGACACTTACAGTATATTACGATGGGGTGCCGTTTACAGTTGCATATTGACTGGGAGATAACCAAAGATAATAATATAAAAACATGCAGATCACCCCATTGAGCTCCTCACTCGATCTGATGAATCGTATGTCAAGGTTTAGATTCATGGCTCTTCTTTTCCATTAGGGACACTTCCATAAGTACATGTGCCATGAACTGATACATAATAAATGTTCCTCCAAGAGTCTGTCAGTGAGACTCAATCTCCCATGTCATTTGTAATGTTTGACAAGTCCTGGAGGAGACAAATGGCGTCATTCTAATATGTTTACAATGAGCATAAGGACAGTTTGGTGTATGGAGGGATCTGATATGAGCCGTGCCCCAAAGAAAATGTTTGAAAAATTATAGAAGAGGAACAGGCCTTATGCAGACAGAGGATATTACTCCCCAGTGTCAAATCTGGACCTAATCTCTGTGCTGCTATAAGACACTCTCATTAAATGAAATGGAAAATTTAATTAATTTTCCACTGAGTTATTCTTCTAGAGCAAAGCTTTTTCACAAGATTAAGGTTTGGTCTGAAATAGTGATTTTGCCACATGCTTTAGTTCTGATTAATCTGACCAAACACAGCCTACTTTTGTTAGCTTTATTCACTAAATTAATATTCACTGTTTTGGGGTCAGCCACAGAGGGTCAGATGTCAGGAAATGTGTGCTTGTCTCAAATATTAGCAATGATGAATAAAAAGTGAATAAAAATGTGTTTAGTTCAATGGGAACAATGGAATAATGTGGATTTGAAATGATGGTACATACAGTATTTGGCAATGATCCAGCAAGAGGTTAGCCAGGCTTGTGCCACCTAGTGCCTCCACTTAATTTCATTTCTCTCCAGCAACTAGGTCATGAATCAAAATACACTAGACAGTTTGCAAGAACCCCGGAAGTTGTAGACCGCACACCGGCCAATCAGCAAAGAGCTGTTAAGTGCCTGTCTGGGTCCTTTTTGTGGTACAGCACAACAGTAAACAAAGCGGTCGAGATGGATGTAGAAGAAGCCTTACTTTCTGTGTTGACAACGATTCCCGAGATTGAGGATTTAAAGCTGGAACAAAGAGAATGTTTGGTGAATTCTATCAAGGGGAAAGACGTTATTGCTCTTCTTCCTATGGGATTTGGCACATTACATATGTCACGACTAAATAGCAGCAATTGGTTAAATAAAGTACCTGCCTACCGTTGAGAGAACAAATCATAATGCTGCAAGGTCAGACGATTTCCACAAAGTGAAACCAGCTGATGAATAAGCCTAGCAAGAGGTGCCCCAAGAAAGAAAATTTACATAAAACTACAAAATATTATTTGGATGATAACAACATGCACTGGTCCCTAGCCTGAGTAAACAGATATCAGTAAGCCAGGGATGTCATTTGAGGTAAAAACTGTCAAATATGTTGTAAATATGTATGTTATCTCACCTCAGAGAGACACCGTTTTTCATATTTGCGTTGCTTACATACCCCTGTTTATCCCTTTTAACATGTCTGATCTCACACAAGGCTCAAGTCAATTATGCAATTACCCAACCACTGTATTGTAGTTAAGCAGGCCATTCTCTGTCAGCCACGAGGAGTCCAAGATCAAATGTGTTCCCTATTCGCCGATGGTTTCAGCTCCACAGTGCTGTAATAGCCTATACTCAGCTAATAAGCCTTTGCTAATGAGGCCTGGAGATGATGGCCAGAAGGTGATGCTGTTAGCCGATCGATAGCCACTCCACGTGGGGTTAGCTTCATCATGACTCACACTCCTCACGGACCACAGGGGAGGCTACGCTTTACTATCAGGCAACACTTAACAACAAACTGGACATGTGCTATTATTCAAACTCCACATTCTTATGAGATAGTGGAGATTTTATGTTTTTAACCTGATTAGGTCAATAACAAAGTGGCAGCTGGATCTATGTATAGATTGTCCCATGGATTAGTGTAAGAATGGATGAAGATAAATGAGCACACGCTGTGACTGGAGTGAAACAAAAGAGCAGCCATGTGCACAAGTCAGGGAAAATTTAAGCACCTGAAGAAAAAAAAAAGCTATTCATGTAAGAATTGAGAGACATGGAACAACACAAAGATTTTAAAGTTCACAAATAAAATGAAACAAAATCCTAAATGTAAATATCAAGTGTTCTTATTACAAATACAAGATAAAGACCAAATTCTTTGCTGGAGAGTCCGTCACCTGCTTGCCTCCATGGAGATGTTATTGCTTTACCTGGAATCTAACATTTATTCATTACAGGTGTATCTATTGCTCAAAAATACTAATACTAATAATTCTCTCTGTGAATAGGGTTGCTTCTCCATAGATCTGACCTGTAATGTAACATACAGTTGTCTCAGTTATGATAGACAAGCTTAATCTCTACTGTGGAACATTTTATACAACAACAACATTTCCATGAAGACAAGCAGGTGGTGGACCCTCCATTAGAAAAATCTGTAGCATTTTAGAAATTAAGATATATTAGTTAAGCTATACATTAATTAAAAAGTAAGAGTATGCACTTTTGCAATCAGGTCGCCGTTTACAGGAAGAAGAGTCTACCTCAGAAACAGGGGCAGCACTATTGTCTGGCTGTTGCCTGGAAAGCCTTGCCTCAACTTTGAGGTCACAAATCACGAGAGCCATCCCTGACAAATAATGGTGTGTTTGAAAGCACTTAACCAATAAGAAAAGCACTTTCCCAACACCACTACACTGTGATGGGCAGTGAGTTATGGAGGGAGTGTAAAAACACACAGAGGAGAAGCAGGTCAGAAGCCCCAACCTCAAATTACATTAAAATAACCAACTTTTCAGCTTTGGGCTATGAACCAACCAACATTTTCTTCTATAAATGATGAAGAACAACCTCAATAAGTACGACATTAATCAAAAACATATCTGGCAAGACATCATGAAGGACTAATGCATGAATCATGATGAACTAATGGATTAACACATGTATCATTAGTATAAAGTTACCAGGAAGGGTTTGTGGGTTTCTGGTGTTCAGTTACACTTATTTAAATGCTAAAAAAGAGCACGCATTCTTTCAAGGGTCACTTCTCTGCAACTTGGGGACCTGATATTTGGTCTATAGCATCACCTGCCTTCATGAAGATAAACATGTTTAACACCATACTGTGGAATATTTCAGGCAATACAATAACATCTATATTGAGACAAGCCAGCAGCATCCCCTTCACCAAAAAAGTTACATTGTGCATCTTTAATAGAATTCACTGATGCCTGTCATGTGAATTAAATGTTTTGAATGAAATGTTCTTTGTGCATTAGTTTCTGCTGAGACCATCACGACCTTGCACTGAGGATAGAAAATGGATGAGTGAAATACACAATTAGAATTCACAACTGTCAACAACTGTCTCTGGAACACAACTGTATAAATAAAAACCTGTTG